AGAAACAGAACAATAGTGCAAACCACTACCACCCTCCCCCTGCTCCCCCACCCTGACCCGATCCCTATAAGATACACATCCTAATTTAGGATATTTTACATTTGTGAAATCATCTACAAGCCAAACTTCCTACTGAGTCAAGCTGGAAATCTTAATCTTTAGGGCAACTCTTAGATTTTTGATTAGGGAGGACACGAGAGTACGTTTGTCCGAAAATCTAGTGCTACCATTCATGTTCCACACCTCAAGGACCAGGAACACCCAGAAGAATAAAAGCAACCACAGAAGTAGTCACAAGCTTCTTTTTTTCTTTTTCTAGTGTTCAAGCTCTCATTTAACTTAATCCAAGAAAAAAATGATATAAATTCGTACTTCCTTTTTTACCATTGTAGAATGTGTAAATGAGCACACACACACACACACACACACACACACCCCACTGCACAAAAACCAGCTGTGTGCTACAAACATACTGGCCATAACCCAATATTAACTTTGTACTTCCCTGTGACAAGAAACAAACACATCTACTGACACTGGTGGCCACTTTCTTAAAGCCAAATTAACAAAATGAAAGCAAACAAACAAATATTTATCTGGAATCCGTTAGAGTCAATGCATGCAGCCACGGATTAATGTCACTATCATGGGGCATGAGAAAACAGGACAACTAACCACTCATCTTGTCTCCCAAACAAAGGGAGAGACTTGCTAAGAATAAAATGTCTCTGCTTACTCTAATGGCATGGAAGAAAATTAAAGAAAATGTGTGGTCATCTTTCTTCTCCCTAAACTTGTGTTTAGGAAGAAAAGAGAAACAGATCATACAAATGACCATAATCTATTCTCTAGGAATTAAAATACATACAGTCAAGATGTCAGCGTCTGCCTATTCCAGTTACTAGTTGAGAAGGTGTTAATTAGGAAACCTTAATAACCTTGTTGGAAATGCTAAGTATTCCAGGACAACACTGTGAATATTTCTTTAACAAAGAGTTTAATGTTTCAAACATAATAAACCACGAAAATGCTTTTAAAATTCCATATCATCACATACCAAAATACAGAGTCCCAAGCTATAAAAATGGAATTTCCAAAAAGGTTTAAAATAAAAGCAGGTTCTGCAATGAGTTGCTCTTATATTAGAGCCCTGAAATACCGCAGAGCATGCTGCCCTCTTGTGCTGGATGTCAAAAGTAAAACGGATTCTGCCCATGCAAGGAAAACATGATTTGCACTGAAAATAGAAATCGTCTCTTAACTTCTGGATGATTTAGTGTTAACCTGGGATTTGTGTTACCCTTTTATTAAGATCTGATAGAACTGCAATGGGGCTAAGACAGAGGGCAAATTTTGACTTGGAAGAGGTAGATGTGGCGAGTGGCATCAGAACGCGTCTGCAAATGTTCTACGAAACTCAAGTCACAATCCAAAACTGTAGGAAGTGTGGGGCAGCCAAAAACATGACGATCTTTAACAGACACACGCAATACCATTACCAAAATACACAGAAGGAAAGAAAAAATAGAGATGGGTGAGAGGAATGAGGGTAAAAAGAAGAGGGAAAAAGAAAACTGGTTCTTGTCTTTCTAAGGCCACACACTAGTTTGGTTCGAATTTTACCCAGACAGCTTAAGATGTATCAACAAAAGGTCAAAAGACAACAAGGCTTCGGACTAAGGCGAACTTCACGCGTGGGTTCAAAACAGAAAGTAACATAAAGTCTTGCACGTTGGAGAGGCATGACCTTCTCTCTTAGAAACAGCTACCTGGAATGGTTTAAGTGCAGCCAAAGAAACTTCACTTTTGAGCAGAAACATACACCTTCCAGGTTTACCTTACTCTTCTTAACTCCAAATGAGTGAAACCGAACTACAGCAGGCAGCCAGTGTTTCAGGACCTTCCATGGAATGTTTGGGGCCCTGGGTATAAACACAAAGGGTCTCCTCTCCCAGGGATTAACATGGATGAGGAAGGATCTGGGAGGAGACACAATGAAAAAGACAGTACACCTGAGGCAGATGCACTCGTGAATGAATGAAGACGACATTTCTACATTCCAGATCAGGGTCACTGAAAATATCCTAGCACAAGTGGCAACTGGAGATGGGGGTGGAAGGAAATTCTACCCAGACCTCCTCAAGTCCAAGCTGGGCTGTAGCTGCCCCAGGCAGAGCTCTGCAGGGGGCAGATCCTGTAGGGCTCTATGTGAGGTTTCTATAAGTCTAGGTTACTGGATACTACACACTGGCAAAAATCCTTCCTGTTCCCTAGGTTTTCTAAAATCTGGGAGGCTGTCCTCATGCTGAGCTCAGAGAAAACTTACTGACCCCTGGGACTCCCCTGAGAGCTTGCTCCGAATAACTAAGTACTGAGAAGAAAAAAGACCACTTCCTGGTCTCTATGCTGCTCAGAGAACACAATCTGTAATTCAGGGAGGTGCGACATTATGGAGGGCACTTATATACATTTAACATATATATCTAGCAGTAGTGAAAGATCAAGCATGTCTACCTTGCTACTCTAGAGGGGAATTTTTTTAATGTATTATATAGCCACTGAAGTACATACAATCAATGGTGTAAACAATGAGGCATAATCCATAGATTTGGTGTGTCCTTCACTATTGTAAAATGTACAAAAAATTTATCCAAATGAAAATTAGAAATCTACTATTAAAAATTTTTTAATTTAATTTTTTAATAAAGACATTTTTAATCTACCGCCAAAAAAAGCAAATAATTCATGACCTCTAAACATTTTGGGCAAACTAGGCCTATCTTTGAAGTACTTATTTAGGCTTCTACATGTTGAAGGGATAAAGTCCTGCTAATAGATATAGGAGGAGGAGGTAAGATAAACACTAGTCTGCTGCTGTAAGATTAGCGACCTCCAAGATTCAGACTGGGTCCCAAATCCCTGAATAATAAATAAATCAGCATGAGAAGCCTACAGGTCTTGAACATGAAGAGCCTGGTTAAATGTAGTCACGGGCATTCAGAGGCCTGTGATAACAGAAATGCAGTCCCACTTAATGCTCCAAACTTTATGACTGTAGTTTTCAAATTAACTGGCAAAGTGGAGCAACTTTATAGCTGCAATAGTACAGAAGTCCTCCAATCACTTTCTAACTACAGCTATAATCAGACTGTATATTTGTAGGCCTCTGCAGTTTACAATTCCTTGTACTTCGCATAGTGCATGGACTAAACAATATTTGTTAAGTAAATCCACACAAGATGCTTTTCAGAATAGTCTTATTTAATCCTCATAATAATCACGTAAAAGAGGAAAGGCCGGAGTTATTTCCATCCCACAGGTAAGGAACGTGAAGTTCAGAGATACCATAGCATCAGTTGCTAACATTTGTTAGGTACCAACGCTGCAGCTGAGCACTGTGTTAAGCACTGGGAATGTATGTATCAACCTGCTTAATTCTCACAATATTTCAGTACAGTAGGTATGAACAGTATCCCCATTTTACAGATAAGAAAATCGAGGCACACAGAAATTAAGTAACTACCACATGGGTATTAATATAACAGCTATCACTATTAGTAACTAGCACCAGGACTGAACCCAAGTAGTTGGTTCCAGAGTCCATGCTTTTAACCACAACATTCTGCTTTGTGATTTGCCTGTCCAGTAGTATCTATGTGCTCTGGGCTTGGTCACATAGCTACTAAATGACCAGGTGTCCCTCAAGGCCACCTCCCTGCCGCTACAGGTTCTGTCAATTACCTGAACAAAAAAAAGCCACTCTGGGCCTCACCACAAGTCCACCCAGCTGACCAGGGACGGGCTAAATGGTGGTGACTAACTGTCCATAGGAACCCAGGTACAGGAGGCTACCTTCAGAAGCACGGTGGGCCAAAGGGCCAGAGGGCAGAAGCATCACCTGCTTGGAAAGTACAAGGTCTACTCATATCAAGAAACTACCTACTGAAGGTCTGCATGGCATGTACCACCACGCCTCTACTATGCAACTACAAGTCCACTTTAAAACTATAGAGTTAAAAACTTTTATTGGGCCGAGCCCGTGGCGCACTCGGGAGAGTGCGGCGCTGGGAGCGCAGCAGCGCTCCTGCCGCGGGTTCGGATCCTATATAGGGATGACCAGTGCGCTCACAGCGCTCACTGGCTGAGAGCAGTGCGGCCAGTCTCAAAAAGGACAAAAAAAAAAAAAACTTTTATTGAAGGGGATGCTTACATTTTACCAGCCATGGGTTTTAATGAACTCTTCATTAACATTTCAAGTAAACCTCATAGTCAGCACATTCAAGAGCTTTGTAGTTCCAAAAATGGACAAGCCTCCCAATGAAAGAAAGGAATGCCGGCCTGTCTTATGTCAGAGAGCTTTCCTGATAAGAAGACCCTTCCCAAAGTTGCATAGCCTAATACTATATAAATACAGCCAATGTTTCAGCAACTATTCAACTACATTTAAACATGTCTGCATGGAATGTAGGGATTCATATGTCATACAACAAATGGATTTCTAAATCATTCCACAAAGTGAAATTCATTTATTTTGGCCGGCCCAGTGGCGCACTGCTACAGTGTGCCGCTTGGGAGCGCGGCGGCGCTCCCGCCGAGGGTTCGGATCCCACATACAGACCAGCCGCTCACTGGCTGAGCGAGGTGTGGGCGCAACACCGAGGGTTGCGATCCCATTGCCGGTCCCAGTCTGGTACGGGCGCGACACTGAGGGTTGCGATCTGTTGCCGGTCACGAAAAAAAAAAGCAAAAAAGGAAAAGAAAAAAAATTCATTTATTTTTCCACACGTACACACATAAACTGGAATAAAAGATCGTATGACTCCTACATGCAGATTTTCTCTGGTAGGAGAAAATTATCAGTGAAACTTTTCGTAGAAAATGAATCACCATGCATAGTGATTTTCTTCTAAGCATCCCCTCCATTTTCAAAAACTAAATGTAATCAGATCCTAAATGTGTTAACAAGACATATTTACTGAGAAACTTGGTGTCTGACTTACCTATTGGATTTCTGTCAAAGAACAATACTGGAGCTTTCAGAATTGACTCAAACATTTTGTTGTGCAAAGTTTGCGAAGAATTAACAAGGACGTAGAATACCAACAGACATCTCACTACGCCGAAAAGGACGGAAGCTACAGTTAAACCTGAAATAAAGAAATACTATTCAGAGAACACAGGACCTCTGCATTTTCTTTAACAATGCTAAAGCAGGTCAGGCAGTTTATAAAGTAACCATAAAGCATCTGGATTCTACAAAAGTAAAATGTATTTATACAAGATACACTGACAAACAAGAATTAAAATAGTTTACTTTTCTCTCACTGAACATAAACTACACAGAAAAAAAAAAATTCAGGTGTAAACTACAATTTCATTCTAAGCTTTCCTAATTCAATTGCAAGTTCTACTAGAAATTCAGAAGAAAGAAAGATGATCATAAAAAGTAGTTGATCTTCCCTTCTCCATATTCCAAATCTTACTATTTACAATATGTCCCATAATCTAAAATTGTGGTACGTTTTGATACCAACATGTGATATTAATAGGGAACAGGAGAAATGATTTACCTTTTCCTTGTAGAAAATGCCCAAGTAGCTTTAAAGAATTTGAAAATACCATATTAAGTTGCACATAGAAAACCTCTTAAATAATTAAATTGCAAGAAAATACAAATTATATTTTAACATAAAATAATCTAAATAAGCAGCTAATCTCCCACTAAGTGATTAAACACAAAGCATTTTTAAATTAACGATTCAAATTATATATTTTACGAAGACATGAATGCGTACCCACTGTGCCTATAGAAATTAAAAGAGCTTTCCTAATATCTCTTGACTCACAATGCTAAATAGAGTAGGGGTGGCTTCTGTAGTAGATATTTGCCCTTCAGACAACACATCACTGTTATTTAACTAACCTCTGAAAGCTGTTCAAAATCCTAAACTCCATCAATAGGCGTTTGCCTTAAACTGCCAACCTACTTGAATATACGCATATAATAGAATTGTTTTTCTTCCTCCTTTAGATCTCACACAGTCCACCAAGTTGTAAGGTAAACAGCTCATGCATTTAGATTTCTTAGCAAGTGATCACAAAAATATGAGGGTACTTCAAAAAGTTTGTGGAAAAATAGAATTAAAAGATAATACAAATCTTTCCATGAACTTTTTGAAGTACTCTCATAAATACCAAATTTCAATGAGCAGGTTCTTACAAAGATAACGCATTCTACCTCTGAGGAAAGCTGGTATGAGCATATCCTGTGGAAATATTTAAAATTTTAGACGAGGATTTCCTTCAAAAGGTATGTAATGCTACGCTTATTCTAAGCAGTCTTGCGAAAAGAAAGAGCATGGCGTTAATATCAGTCTGGCACGCCAAACATTAAATTAATCACTCAGTTGGGGACGCGATAACATTGTGATCTCTAGGTAAGAGACAGAAGGAGTCCTAATTCCCAGACACTGGATTTTTCCCTGCTTAGCTTCCCTCTTAGGTAATTAGTGAAGCCCGAGAGATGAGCAGTTTGGGGAAGGAAGCTTTGCATACCTGTGAGGGAATAATGTTTTTATTTGGGGGACCTCGCTGCCAGAGGATTTCATCCAAGTTCAATAAAAGCCAGAGTTTATTCAGACAGAATTGGAACAATCCGAACCACAGGGTGGGGATCCGTTTCTAATCCCCTTGCCCATCCATATAATGATATAAGATTTAGCTAATGCAACCTATTAGAATAGACAATAGCCACATATTTCCAGTGGCTGATTTTCTGAATGCTCAATCCTGGTTTAACTTTCAAAATCCAATACAGAGCAAATTAAGAGTCTTCATTCAACCTCTTTCTTCTAGTAGATTTAAAAAATAATTATTCTAATTAATTCACAGAGTAAATGCGACACAGACTCCTAATCTGTTAAGACATTACCAAATTACTCCTGGAAGCCCTAGTTACTCACACAGGCTCATTGTAAGCATCTCAGACTCTCATATAATAGACCAAATCATTAAACTTTACCTGAATAAATTCCTAAATACCAGGGAAGATCTAGCTTCTCAGTTCCATTTTCTTTTCCATTTACAGTGACATTCAGTGCACTTTGTTTGTTTGCCCTATGGAACAGGAAAGAAAAAATATATATATTAAGCTATAGATATAATGTAGATAAATACAAAAAAAAAAAAAAAAAAAAAAAAACTCAATTTGGGAGAAATGTTTTATGCTGGAAAATAATTCCCAGCTCACAGTCCTCTATACATCCACCTTACAAAAATTCAATTTGAATGGTGACTTTGAGTTCTCAAAACCATCCAAGAACAGGCTATGAGGCTTAGACATGGGTAGAAACCATTATGGGTCAGACTCCACCAGTAAGAACTTCAGTTTTTCTTCAGGTGAAGTGAGTGAGGATGAAAAGAGAAGGTTCGACAAACTCCATCTCTCCCCTGAACTCTGCGGAAAAGCAAAGCTTCCTGAGGACTTCATAGCACTTCATGTCAGGGAGAAACTAACTCACCAGTATGAAAGCCACCAGTCCTGAAGAACATAGACAACCTAGCAGAGGGGAAAAACAAAGAAACACTGACATGATCACCAACTCAAAACTCTTAGTCACTAAAATGGATAATCAAAAACAAGGCTCCAAAGGACTGAGATGCTCCTTCCAGCTCAGGTCTGCACCAAGCCCAACCTCCCGGAACTACAGCTCAAGGAAATGTGTACTATACTTTAAAATCTTTAAAACATTTAAAAATTTTTAAAGATACCCTTTTTTCTAGAAGCTCTTTGTAAAGTGCTTGCAATACCAGGAAACATCTCCCATTTGGTTCCCCACAGACAGCACATTTCACTGCAAATCTCAAGCGAATTACTACAAAATGCTATAATAACAGCAGAAATAGGAATACGATAAATATCAATCAGCACAAAACAAATGTTATTATTTACCTGTGCTGCAATGTTTAGCAGAAGAAGGAAAATGATCATAAACCAGTGAGCACCGGCTCTGAAGTAATTCCTATAGGCCTTAAAACCAACTTTTCCTTCAGAACGGCTCTCCCCTGATAGTGTTGCCTGTACGTTTTCAGTCTGTGAAGGAAAAAGGCAGTAAGAGACAAAATAGTATGCAGTAAAGTTTTAGAAGTTGACAATATACAGTTTGCAAAGCTGTGAGAGAAGAGGCACATCTACGCTGCTGGTGGGAGTACACAATGGTACATGTCCTATGGAGATGAGTGTGCAAATATCTAGCCAAACCATGTATGCATTTACCCTTGGACCCAGCCATCCCACTCCTTGGAGTCTATCAGAGACAAAGAAATATTAATACACTAGTGTGGCTTTGTTTGGAGTATGACATCATGGTTTCCTGCATATGCCTAACATACCTGAATTCAAGTATCAATGCAGAAGCTTGTTCCAAAATGCTATGCAAAATAATGTGGAATTAATGTGTCACTCTAGATTATTTGTATCAATCAATGACGGAAACATAAAACAGAGTAGAAGGTCAAAATGTTAGCCAAATGTGGTGCTTGAAGTTCAAAGAGTGAGTGTGAGTCATGAGAGACTGGAAAGCACATGATAGCACACGGTCCAAATCGATTTGGCTCCTGAGCTTCAGAAATCGATTCCTTAGAGTTTGGAATGTGAGGGACTAATCTGAAAATTTTAAGAATCATCTAGCCTCCTGGATTTGGAGAGTGAGGGTTTGGATGGCAAGACATATGTCTGCATATTTTTAAGGGAGCTCCAGAGCAGTTTTGCCTGGAGGATTTAGAAAACACTGCAGACTCACATGACCCAAGGATGTCCTTGGCTCTATGCTGGCCACTGGGGATATTCAACGATAAATAAGAAAGATGTGGTTCCCGGTCTTGAAAAGTAAGAAAGCAAGATGGGAACTAACTCTTACATGTCTACTGTGTGCCAGAAATTGTGAGGTGTTTGCACATGCTACTTCTGGCCTGACACAAACCATCTGACAACAGGGCAAATTAATACTGTCAGCCACCTGCAGTGTCGGAACGTTCCAGCCTACAAGTGTCTGGTTTAATGTAGGACAGAGCAGGACCTAGTCTAAGGGGGTCTTCAAAGAAGGGAAGCCTGCAGCCACCAGAGCAAGCGGGATTCACCTACTGCAAATTCAAGAGTTCTAATATCAGTGTGAGCCACATACATCTTTGGGACTCTTAGCAGCATGTCCACTACTGACCTCCATGAATGTCCCCAGCCCACACCCAAAGGATGACCCCAACTAGGTTTTCTCCTCTTCATTCTGTTTTAATTCTACCAATTCCAGCAAACAAGGCTTTAGAACCACAGAATGTACTTTGGGAAAAACAATGATGTCATGAGCAGAGTAGACCAAATATCCATGAGTCTACTAAGTGTTGACAAAAACCAGGGCACATCGTGACATGAGATGAACTCACATCCCGGCCTTCTGGAACGCCGTCTTTCAGTGAGGGTCTAGACGACTGTTCAGACCAAACCGAAGACTCCGAGAAGGTACGATTCCTCAGTGTGGGAGTTCCTGGAACCGCAGATTGTTCAGCTTCCTCATTTTCCTTCTTCAGAAGGGAACCAAAATCTACCCCGGATTTCAGAAATTCAGTGTAAGTGCCTTTCTGTACCATTTCACCCTAAAATAAAAATTAAAAATTCGAGGAGTATATTTGTACTCAATACTACCAATATAATCTAACACTAATCAAGGAAAATTAACAGGCCTTCAATTGTGATTTTTGTAAGAAAAGCATCCTTAGGTCTGGAATTCTGGTGGACAAACCTAGTACAATTCAACTTGACACATAAATAAGCATTCTGTTCTCTGCCAAACCCTGTGTTAGGTGCTGGGGGGTATGAGAGAAATGTGTACTCATGCATGAAAAATGAAGGTCACTGACTCCACTGGGAAGGATGTCCCTGGGAAGAAACTTAAGATCGATACGGAGGTGAACACAAGCATATCTGCACAGGCAGGAGTCGCTCCACAGCCTCAGCTGGCCACGTGCCCCCACCAGGACAAGACACTGGGAACTAACCTTGGACATGGACCCCACGAGCTGCATCTTCAAGATCTTTCCTCTAAAGCTGCCCTGCAAACTCAGGAAGCTCCTCGCTGAAAATTCAACATTCTATGTGACACCTCACTGCACAGTTTCCCCTCCTTACAAAGTTACAGAAAATAATGGGCAAATGTTTTCACTACTTTTTCACCCATGAAATGAGACCTAGCTGATTTACCCAAACAGCAGCATACAAACAATTAGGCAAAATCCTGGGATACAAAACAAATCATAGCAGAGCAATTCTGGCTAAGGCAGTTCAGGTGTGGGGGGAAGGTGGCCCGGGACCCTACCTGGTACCCCAACCTCCTACCCGCAGGGTGCGCCACTGGGAAAAAAAAATCAAATAACACTTTTAGGTTGTTTGAAACACTTTGGTAACTGGGGAGTTAGAAAGTTATTCATGATACATTTGTCTTATTCTACTTAGAAGGTAAAATTCACATACCTCATTCAACGAAATTATCACTTTTCACTAAAACGCACAAGGAAACTACTACTGGTATTGATATAGCAATTTTCCTCAGAAGCCAAGAATTGACAGTTCAGAGGGGTCGGAAGGGGCAGCCACCCCCTGTCTGCAGCTTGAGAGGGACCAGACCAACATTCATCCAGGGTGCCCACCAGTGGACAAATGGTTGTTTTAAAAGTACTAAAATTGGGGATATCCTCAAAATAAGCAATAAAGAGAACCTCAAAACCTCTGGGAACTGGTTAAAAAGGTTATTCTGGCTAGATGCCACAACCACCACACAGACGGACCACCAGCCACTGGAATGCATTGACACAAGGAGTCACCAGCAGAGACCAAAGAAAAGAGGATGTCTCTTTCCCCAAAGCCCATTCCAGAGTGACAGAAGAAGCATCTGCTCTATGATAATATTGGGGGACCTGACCACACCTCTTAGCATTGAACAGATCATCTAGGCAACAAATCAACAGAGTAACCATTATTCTTTCAGAAGGAGAGAAGAAATCTAGTGTAATTAGAGGGGGGAAGGGGAAGGGAGAGGGGGATGAAGAGAGATTGGACAAGGGGCATAAAGAATAATGATGATTTGTAACAATATATGTGTACAATATATATGTACTAGTAGTATGTACTAGTAATATTGATTTAATCAACATATACCAATGTTGAACCCCCAAAATTTGTATAATCAATTTTGATTCAATTTTGAAAAAAAAATTTTAAGAAAATAAATAAAATAAAATAAAATAAGTTATTCTATCACCCGCTGATTCTACACTCATAATCCTACCAACATTCAGGTTTTACCACACTAGTTTCCACCCTCTGCACATGAAATTGTTTTCAGGTTTGAGGAATCTGAGCCTTCTATTCCTGGAGGAGTCAGAAGGGCCCCCAAATGTAATTGCTTCTGAAAGGGGAGGAATTCTGCTTTTTTATAATCCTCCTTGGGGCGGGAATTCATTTGACAGAGCTTCAGCAAGACAAGTTCCCTACTGTTCTTTAGCAGCCACATAAAGGAGCAAGGAAGCACTTTAAGCAAGACTTGCAAGAACTCTGCTATCATGATAAATGATTGGCTGCAATAATGTGAAATTTCTCTCTCTCTGAGAATGGTATACACAGATCACATGAACTGTAGTTAATATTCATTATTTGTTATTTCCACCATTTTACCAAGACACTGTGGGAGGGGAAATATTAAAACATTGGAAGATACTAAGGGGTTTTTAGACCTCCAAGGAGGGATTTGGCCAAGGGCCTGTTGGAACAGACAAGGGGCGAGGACAGGGTGCTGAGGTATAGAGGTAACAGGCCAAGGACAGAGGGCCAGACCGCCGCCAGGGCAGAGCAGTTCTCAGTGACCTCCACCTCCCCAACCATGCTAGCTGTGGTGGGTTGAATGATGGCCCCCAGAAAGATATGTTCAAGTCCTAAGCCCTGGTATCTGTGAATGCGGCCTTATTTGGAAATGGGATATTTGCAGATGTCATCAAATTAAGACAAGGTTGCACTGGAGTAGGGTGGACCCTGATCCAGTATGACTGATGTCTTTCTAAGAAGAAAGCCAGACAGACAGAGACAATGCCATGTGACAACAAAGGCAGAGACCAAAGTGCAGCAGCTGCAAGCCAAGGAGAAGCTGACAAAACACCGGAAGGTGGAAGAGGCAAGAAAGGATTCCCCGCTAGAGCCTTCAGAGAGCACATGGCCCTGCTGACAACCTGATTTTGGACTTGCAGCCTCCAGAACCGTGAGACAACACATTTCTGTCGTTTAAGCCACCTGGTCTGTGGTACTTCATCTGGCAGCCCTAGGAAACTGATTAAACTAGCCTAAGCCCATCCTTCTGAACTACTAAAACTTCTAGTTGCTTCTGCTTTAGCCCCTCCAGCGAACATCAAAAGAGGGATCTTTTATTTTTTTTTTATTTTTTTTAAAAGATGACCGGTAAGGGAATCTTAACCCTTGACTTGGTGTTGTCAGCACCAAGCTCCCCCAGTGAGCCTCGGGCTGGCCCCAAGAGGGATCTTTAAAATCATGAATCAGACCACGCCACTCCCCTCCCCTGGAGCATCCAATAGCTTCCGCCCACTTCCCGGCCTACTGCCCAGCGCTCTGAGGCCAGCACACCCCGTGCTCTCCCTGGCTCACTCAGCCCCCGCCACGCTGCCTCCCTGCTGTTCCTCCACCCCCATGCCAGCTGCCTTCCTCCCTCGGGATCCTGCTGTCACCACCAGGACCCCCTTCCACATGCTCCTCTCCTGGTGACTGCATGGCCTACACCGTCACATCACTGTCACTGTGAGGCAACCCCCACCCCTCTATCTTTTTCATCACATCTATCCCCAGGAAGAATGGGAGCCCCACGACAGCAAGAACTCTGTCTTACTTACTGCTACACAGGCTGTCACGTGAATTGGGCCCTCAAAAATACCTGTGCAGGGAGACTAGCAACTAGCTATACCAGCAAGCTGAGTCCTCTAATCAGGGGGTGCTCAGCTATCCAACCATACTTTGGTTACAGTAGTCCCCCCTTTAACCATGAGTTCACTCTCCATGGTTTCAGTCACCCACAGTCAATCGGTCCAAAAATATTAAATGGAAAATTCCAGAAATAAGCAATTCAGAAGTGTTAAATTGCACACCCTTCTGAGTAGCATGATGAAATCCTGCGCCAGGCTGCTCTGTCCTGCCTGGGATGCGCATTACCCCTTTGTCCAGCACATCCACACTGTCTATGTATGCCACCTGCCCACTAGTTGCTTAGTAGCAATCTCAGTAATCAGATCGAAAAAACACAGTATATATAGGGGTTTAGTAGTATCGGGTTTCAGGCATCCACCGAAGGTCCTGGATGGACGTATCCCTCGCAGATAAGGGAGGATTACCACATTAGTGGAAGATGCTCTTCAGACAAACTGTGTGTGACAATCAAATGGATACAAACATGTCTCAGTATCTGTAATTTCCAAATAATATGCTTTGACTTTAAGTCATAGAAGAGAGAAACAAAACATTCTAAATAAAACATCATTTATCTTTAATGATGTTACTAGAACAGTTATAATTTAGTGACTTTGAGGAAGCAATTTTATATACTTCAGGGTAATATGAGTTAGAATATAATAGAGACATTTCTACAAGTCCTTTGACTTTATTGTCAAAGGCATTAATTCCAGCTCTGTGAAGAAATGGACATGAAACTGAGAAGGAGTTTCCCACGAAGCCCAAGGAGGCTGGGAGATCCCTCCTCCAACACACCTGAGTACTATCAAGTTTGGGAAACTTGAAATTACTTACATCTTTCAATATCAGAATCTGACTCGCAGCTTTGAGGTACTGCAATTGATGAGTCACTAAAATTGTGGTCTTCTCATGCAAGGTTTGACAAATACACCTATCAATATAAAAGGTACAGTATTAAAAAAACACATAAATGGGGGCACTCCAAATTGAAAAACATACATTTTGAAACCATAAGAGACAACACAGTAGTCAAAGATTTGTAGTTTAAATACAAATACAAATACAAATTAAATATAAATATAAATCAATAAAGCCAACTAAAAAATTCACTAGCAGCAAACTTGAGCCCTGCTCACCTGAGAAATTCTGAAAAGCTGTCTGGCAAAGGAGGTAGTGACTGCTAAATTTTCTTTTCTAACACTGTTTAACAATTTCTTATATATTTTATGATGAAAACAATTGAACAATACTGAGATTCCAAAAGCTGACTTAACTAAAATACTGATTATTTTATCACTGTGTAGGAATGGGAGAGAGATGACATATAAAAATGTGGGTATTTTTCTTAGATGGTTTCCTAGGTTACTGCTTATGACGTACATATTAACCAAAAATCTTTTTTTAATTCTTAGATACTTGGTAACCTTTGCTAGAGTGTATTTTCCAGACCCTCCTTCCCAAATAATATCAAATGTTAAAATGTATGCTAGTGGGGCTTCAATCAGTCTCCACAATGAGAATTCCTGAGTCCCATCGAGGAAGCAAATCTTCTTTCATTAGGACTAAAAAACTCTCAAATATGAAAATGAAAGAACAGAATCCAAATGATCTAAATCACAGTGGAAATCACCCACTGGCTCAAAGATAAGACCCAGTCTCAGTATTCAACCTCAGAGTTTTGTGTTTTTACAGTAACCTTTCAAAGTGCTTCTACATTTTAAATGCAGAACCCTGGAAGCTCAGTCCAGCCCCCATCCCACAATGGTCTACAGCCTCTCCAGGGAAACAAGCCACTCAGGAAAGGGCATGGGAACCACAGGCAGGGCTCCTGGCACACACTCAGGGTTCCCAAGTCCCTGCACAGAGCAAATGTCAGAAATGTGGGCCACAACACAACCTGCTGAGGTGGGTCAGATCAAGAATTCTGGAGAAACTGAGACTGGAGTTCAAACCCCTGTTCCATCTCCTATAAGCCTGACAACGTTGAGCAAGTCACTAAACCTCACTGAACCAAAGTTTGTTCATCTCAAAATAAGGCTAACTCATAGGCACGTTCTGAGAAATAAAAGCACTAATCCATGAAGCGGCCCAGGACAAAACCGATGCTCAATAAATGTTATTTCCGTCCTCCAGCCTTCCCCTAAACATTTGCTTTCGATTCAGGATTGAAAAGGCATAAGGGGGAGCTTTTGAGATTGGGCCTGTGATCAGAACCAAGACTGTAGATGCATATACAATCACTTCACTCTTTAAATCCAAAAGGATTAATTTCTCCCTTTTCACACATCTTAGTTTAGCTTCTCTCATTCCTGTTTCTCAAGCTAATAAACCCCTCTTAGGGCTTAGTACTCAAGCTTTAAAGGAATTGTTTCTCCTTAAATCAAAATTGCCTGCCATTAATCCCTTTATATAAACATCTGAAGGGAGATGTTCACAATCAAGTCTGATGGGTTGCTATGTCCAAGATGGGCCAACTCAAAAGGTTTCAAAATGTTTTCTTCCTAACATCTTTCATTATGACGTAAATAGTTATAATAGCATTGTAATTAATGGCTTTAAATTTTTCCTAAACCATGCTTTTTATCAACATCTCTGGGAAAATACTTTCCAAATTTTAAAGAGTAAAAATTCACAGGCCAAGCCATAAAAATATTGCCTGATTCAGCAACGAGTTATTTAACTCTTATTCTACATAAGGGCTATGTTAAGAGCTGGCACATAGCATGGTGGACAATACACAAAGAAGAAAGACAGAGTCGCTACCTTCATTCACACATTTGTTGAGCAGCTACCAAGTGCCAGGCATTGTTCTAAGTGCTCAGGATCCACCCATGGTCAAGCGGACAGACTACACCCTACATCATGTAGAGGAGACGTATGACATGAACACAAAACATGCACTATGGGGTTATGATGTGAACTATGAAGAAAAAGCAAGGCGAGGGTTGCTATCGCAGAGGCAGCAGTCAGGAAAGGCCTCTCTGCAAGGAGGTGACATATGAGCCATGAGAATATCTGGGGGATACATTCCTGGAAAGACGCAGCAGGTGCGATGGCTCTGAAGCAGAAATGAACTGTGCAAAGTGCTTTCATGCATTCCCAGGCTGGGGGAGGTGGGGGAGCATAGGGGAAGGACCCATAAGTGATCGAGAACAACCCAGCCGATGGAGTTTGGATGTACTGTCTTCCAGAACTCATGTGGAAATTTGATCCCCAGTGTGACAGTTTGAGTTATGGGGGTGGATCCCTCATGAATGGGTTAACATTCTTCCTGGAGGCGAAGAGCCTGAGTGAGTCTCACTCTGGTAGTTCCCATGAGAGCTGACTGTTTAAAAGACCCTGGCACCTCCTCTCTCTCTCTTGCTTCCTCTCGCCACATGATCTGCTTGTACCCGCCAGCTGCTGCCGCTTTGTGCCATGAGTTGAAGCAGCCTGAGGCCCACACCAGACGCAGCTGTCCCAGAATCATGAACCAAATAAACCTCTATTCTTTATAAATTACCCAGTCTCAGGTATTTCTGTTATAGCAACACAAAACGGACTAATACAGAAAATCAAAGGCTATGGGCAGACAGGAAGGGCACAGTGTCCTCTGCAGGAACAGGAGGGACAGGCAGGCAGGTGGGGGCACACTGTCCCTGGTTCTCAGACAGAGGAACACCACCCATACGAACAGGCAGACGTGAGAAAGGGCACACTTTGTGCAGGGCACTCCACGTAAGTCAGCCTGGCTGGAGTTCTGGGTTCTTATTGGGAAAGGCTGGAAAAGTGACAGGTGTAGGTTGCAAAGAACTTCGATTGCTATTTGAGGACTTCAAACCTCATCCTAAAGGTGAGGGGAGTCTGTGAAGACTGAAACAGGGAAGGGAAACTGGTGCTGTGCTCTGAATGGCTGTGTTCCTACCCGAATTCATAGGTTGAAACCTAACCACCAGTGTGATGGTATCAGGAGATGGGGCCTTTCCGTGGGAATCTGCCCTCATGAATGGGATTAGTGCTCTTATAAAAGAGGCCCAAGCGAGCTGCCCTGCCCCTTCCACCATGTGAGGACACAGCTAGAAGATGGCTGTTTATGACCCGGAGGGTGAGGGTCACCAGACACCAAAACTGCCAGCACCTTGATCTTGGACTTTCCAACCTCTAGAACTCTCTACTACCCAGTTTATGATAAATCTCTACTATCCAGTTTATGTTAATTTTGTCACAGCAGCCTGCACAGACTAAAACAATTAGGTAGGCAACAGTGTGGGAGACTGATTATGACAGACCTGAAGAACTGATTATGCAAAAGGCAGGGGGCTAAGAATTTGGGCTTTCTAAAATACAAGACCCACAGTTTGCAACAGCTCAGACTGGCATCGGTTAATCAAAGTGCCCCAAACCTTCTGTATGTGATAGTTTACAACATACAGTTGTAAAATTCACAAACCTTAATAACCTTGGATTTATATCCATGATTGAAGTAAAACTGCTAATGGCAGATAGAAGTGTAATTCATTCACTTTTAATACAAAACACTTCACATTTCTAGGTTTCAACACAACCGCCATCTTTCATCGCATATTGTTCAATCCAATTTTCTAACTCGTTGAGAACATTCTTCAGTAGCTGCTGAGTGATTTCCTAAATTGCATTCGTGCTCTCTGCCCTAAGTTTCCCCAAAGAATGTGGTTCTGATTAGCAAACAACAATTTTAACAAGCTTGCTTCTATCAAGTGTATATCCAAAGTCATTAAACCTTAAAGGTGTGAGAGAACTTTATAAATACCTTGCATGTTCAGAGAAAAACTGGGGGAGCTTTTGCAACATGCACCCTGATACTCTGCAATCAGAACACCTCCCTCCTCCTCCCTTGTGACTCTAACACAGGGTCCCACCAGTAATTGTTCTTTCAGTGGTGGAGAACTAGTGTGGACTCGCATAAGACTCGTACAAACCACCAAGGCCCTTCTCTGCCTATGAGAAATTTCATCAAGACACAGTCAGGAGCAGGCAGGAAAGGAGGGTCAGATCAGAAGGCCAGGGCAATGCCAAGTGCCAGCTGCTTGCTACATTCTGAAAGATTCAACAGAACCACACACATTTTCTTGTGGAAAAATATACATAACATAAAATTTACCATTTCAACCTTTTCAAGTGTACAGCTCAGTGGCATTAAGCACATTCACACTAGTGTGCAACCTTCACCACGTCCACCTGCAGAACTTTCCCTTCATCCTGATACCAGGCACATCTTACACACACACTCTAGGGAAACGCTTAATAATCCCTCCTGAAGTCCTACGCTTAGTGGGTGACCTTGTGTCCCGGCCCCTAGAATCCAGAGCCCAGACATGGTTACCCCTCAAACTGCCCACTCTGCTTGAACCCCTCTTTCCTTTGCTATTTAGGACCTGTTACGAACTGAACTGTGTTCCCCCAAAATTCTTATGTTGAAGCCCTAACGCCCTCATAATTTTGAAACAGGACCTCATAATTTTGAAACAGGATGTTTCAACTAGTAATTGAGTTAAAATGAGGCTGTGAGGGCAGGCCCTAATCCAATCTGACCAATGTCCTTGGAAGAGGACGAAATTTGCACACAGACAAAAGGCCAGGTGAGAACACAGCAAGCCAACCAGAGAGGCCTCGGGAGAAATTAAACCTGCTGACACCTTGATCTCAGACTTGCAGCCTCCAGAACTGGTAGAAAAAACACTTCTGTTGTTTAAGCCACCCAGTCTGCGGCATTGTGTTATGGCAGCCAGACTGACTAACGCAGGGCCTTCCAGCGAACATTTCCAGTGACTTTCTCTCTACTGCATAATCTGCATCCTGCACTTGAGGAAGACTTGTTCGCCTGCTGTTCTTTTCACGTGCCCTGCTTGTTCCCATCTCTACACCTCTGCTTCTACTATTCCTTTTACCAAAAGGAACTGGATCCTATTCTCAGCCTCTACAAACCCTTCCCAAGGACCACAGGCCCAAGCCCAGCCCACAGTGAGCTTCCAATCTCAGCTGCATGTCCACAGCTGCCTGCTTCTCCCTTTAGCACTGTTTATCCTACACCGAGTCCCCTTCAGTATGCTGAATTATTCCCATGAGCTTATCTTTTTTTTTTTTTTTTTTTTTTTGTCTTTTTCCGTGTCCGGCAACGGATCGCAACCCTCAGTGTTGCCCCCGTACCGGACCGGGACCAGCAACGGGATCGCAACCCTCAGTGTTGCTCCCGCGCCTCGCTCAGCCAGTGAGCGGGAACCAGTCTGTATGTGGGATCCGAACCCTCAGCGGGAGCGCCGCCGCACTTCCCAAGCGGCGCACTACAGCAGTGCACCACCGGGCCGGCCCGAGCTTATCTTGATAAACTCCATGTAGACAAACTCCTAAAGGGCAGGAGTGAGATCTAAACTTCTTTGTCTCCTTTACTCTGCCCAGTATGGGTTATTCCCTGTGGCTTACAGACCTCCTTTGTAAAGTAAGATTCTCTGCACAATAACATCTGTCAGAGTGCCTATCTCAGTGCACACAGAAAGGCTTCAATCAGCACAGCTAAAAGGACTAATGGGCCTTAACAAGGTGAACAACAAACAGGAAGCTCACTGTGGGGCAGATCTGGATGCTATTTTAGCAAGACCAACTTCACAATGCTTTCAAAAAGGACAGTGCAGATGACACAGGAAGCATTGGGGAGCATACAGTAGGTCACAGAATACATGGAAAAGATTCGAGTCATTCCACCTCAGCTGCTAAGCAAGAGCCAAGGTAAAATTTCAGAAACACCAAGCAAACGTCAGGAGTTAGGCCGGATTCTAGATACCTAGTTGCAAATGCAAGCTAACCCTACACACTCGTGGATCTTAAGTGTTAATTCTAGTAAGAACCCATGAAGCAACATCAAACTCTTGAAGCCACACTCTAATATGGAACAAATCATGCTTAAATGCTAGACTTTACCAATTATTTCCAAACCTACATAAGCATAAACCAACAGGCCTTTCCATGGAAGCCCTATGCTTGTCCTGAAAACCTCACTTCTAGTATGCCACAGACAAAAGATGGAGGAAAAAAACTAAGAACTAAGGACCAGGTGGATGAGTCCCACCCTTTGATTTAAAAACTGTGCATAATCTTTCCTATTCCTGGGGTCTGGATCCATCTACAGTTTCTGGGTTACCAATTGCAAAGAGCAGGGGAAAATATTTCATAATTTGCCACCTATTTTCACTCACTTCGACACACTGAAATCATCTTCTGTATTTTCCTATCTTGACCTTGCATTTGTGTAAAATTTCTCTAAAATGCATCTTCTGTGTGAGGGAGAGGAGGGAGGGAAAAGGACACCAGAGCAGGATGAGCTGAATTTTCTGAAGCTGCAAAGGCTTTCCTGAGACGCCTCAGAAAGGTTCTTGGAAGCAGAAATGACACACAACACAAGCAAACTCACAGCTCGAACAGGTGCCTACTGACTTCTGCATCCACAGCACTGAGAGGGTCGTCCAGGAGGTAGATGTCGGCGTCCTGATACACTGCTCTAGAAAACACAGAGAGATCTCAGACAGAAGGAAACTTCACACTCCGCATCCCTCACGTAGAAATCACGACACGGTTCAACAACACGAATGTTCATTGCAGGCATCAAGGAATAAGCTAACACCGGCGCTTCACACCAGACCCAGCACACAGCGGGTTCTCTACGTTAACCACCGCTAGAAGTAGCAGGAAAGACACCGAGCAGAATGGCCGCGGAAACGCCATTTACCTTGCGAGGTTGACCCGTGCTTTCTGCCCCCCACTCAGCGTGGTTCCCCGGTCTCCTATCACAGTCAGATCCCCATCCTCCAAAAGCTGTAAATCCTACAGAGAGAAAGAAAAGACTTAATATGTGCTCTCCTACCGTCATCCTAAACATTGCACATCAGCGCTTCAGAAATATACATGTATTTGATCAACAGCAATGGATATATTTCACAGTGATTAAATTGTAACTTTGAACCTTTCAAAGAAAAAGAAACTCTCAGGGCCTTTTTTGTTGGAATGCTATAGTTTTTCCCACTATATTTATGCACCTAACTACTTTAACACACACTTATTGACTATTTGTCAGACATTATTCTGGGCATAGTGAATTCAGCAACGAAGGAAACAAAGTCCCTAGAGTTCCCACGGTGGAAGACTGACAATATAAGAAATTAACAGGAATGCACGTGGTGATAAGTACTGAGGGGAAAAAGGACACTGGTTTAGGGAGACAGAGAGTAATGGAGAGAAAGCCCATTTTACAAAGGGTGGTCAGCAAGGGCCCTGATCAAGAGGGTTTAAGCAGAGGTCTGTCAAAGGGTGGAGTGGGCTGGCACAAATCTGCAGAATGTGTTCCACAAAGAGGAAGAAGAGCAAAGACCATGGGGCAGGTGAACACCCAGGGTATTCAAAGAATAGCAACTCGGAAGCCAGTAGAGTTGGTGCAGATTGAGTACAGAGGGGTGGGAGATGAGGCCAGAGACCCAGGCAAGAGGGGTCAGGGTTTCATACCCAGTGAGATACACGTGGCTTTTAAATCCAGAAGACTTAATTTATCAAGGAATAAGTGTCTCTTCACTGCCTCGGCTTCCCACTTCCAGAGAAGGGAAAACACTTGACCCATGTCCTCAGAGTGACACTTAAGGTATGTGACAGAGTGACAGGCAATATCTATACAAGAAATAAGAGCAGAAAGAGCAGCCTGGTAAGAAAAACCAAAGGGAAGGGAACAGTGTGGTTGAGAGAGGCTGGGCAGATGGGCTGGACCAAGATTCTTGTTCCATGCAAGCCAGGAAAAACGAAAGCTACAGTAAGCAAGAAGGTTTTATTTGAGGATCTGGGAATCTAGCCAAAGTTACATTTGAATATTATTTAAGAAATAAATTGACAAGGTACAGTAACTTAAAAAAAAAAAAAAGGGGGGGCCAGCCCGGTGGTGCACTGCTACAGTGCGCCACTTGGGAGCGCGGTGGCGCTCCCGCCAAGGGTTCGGATCCCACATACAGACCGGTTCCCGCTCACTGGCTGAGCGAGGTGTGGGAGCAACACCGAGGGTTGCGATCCTGTTGCCGGTCCCGGTCCGGTAC